GGGAACCGGTCTGTATGTGGGATCTGAACCCTCGGCGGGAGCGCCGCCGGGCTTCCCAAGCGGCGCACTGTAGCAGTGCGCCACCGGGCCGGCCCAATAGTTCTGTAATTTCTGAATGAATGAATTTGCCCCACCAGAATCTAAGATCTCGTATTCACCTCTAGAGTCATATAAAATTACATGCCAAGTAAAGAATGATGAATCTTTATAGAACAGACTAGTCAGCCATATGATCATTAATATTCTTTGGGTTATAAATCTCCCATTTGTATCTTTGTGTGTGTGGGTATATATGTATATATAAAATCATCTCCAACCAGAAATGATAAGACTTATGATAAGTGAAGAAAAATAAGTTTTTTAAAGATTATCCAGGAACATTTGACATGACTTTAATTTTCCTTTTGCAGGAAATTAGTAGATATTTGATAATACATGTTCATTACAAATAACAAAACATAACGGAGAATCTTAGTCCCAAGTCTAACAATTATGTCTTACAATGAAATAACTACTAAATAACATTCATGAGTAATCCAGCAATACAATTAAAATGTTTTCTCATAGCGATCTTTACAAAAAAGTCAAGTGTTTATTTTAAGGTTAGAACAACCATTATTTTACTAATAAAATAGTTGTAATTTTATAACAGTTTTAAAGGATATAAATGTTTGTATCTAAGATATATGATAGTGTGTCTTAAACCTTTCCACCAAATCAGCAGTGTAGAACTATATGCATCTCCAGGAATTTGGGGGCATATTTTAAAGAGGCCCCATATAATCACAAAAAAATGCCTTTGACTTATGTTTTATATTTACAATTAATGTAAAATTTTAATTTTAATTCATAATATGGTTGTTTATTTCAATGTACAAAATAAATTACCAGCTAAATCAGCTAACTGTACCCATTCCCAACCTTCTAAGAAAATTTACACTCCTGAAACATATGCAATGTCAGTCTGTGACTTTGGGTACCCTCAGCCAATGGTACCTCACTCTAAAAGTATGCATATCTCCATCTGAGAAGTAAGCTACGAACACTGCTTCTGTGAAAATCACAATGCTTAAATTTAAAGAAAAAACAATCACAAAGTATGTGAAAGTTATAATTCTATGATGCCAAATAAGTTACTGTTACACAAAAGAAGAGTCACGCTTGTGTGGTATGATATCAAGGGATGCTCTTTGCCCCAAGAAAAACTCTCCTTGCATTAAACAAAATCCCCTGTCATCTATTGCCTCAAATTTCTGATCCTATCAAAAGGAAATATTATTCAGAAGAGTATTATTTGGAAATCTTTAGAATGCATTGATGTGTTTTCAATATTTCTTTATATGTATATCAGTGTTTCATCGAATCCTACTTTTATTGAAGTCTTTATGACAAATAGCTGCTTTTTTTTTTTTTCCTTTTTGTCTCTTTTTTTCATGTCCAGCAACGGACCACAACCCTCAGTGTCGCGCCCGTACCGGACCGGGACTGGCAACAGGATCGCAACCCTTGGTGCTGCGCCCGCCCCTCGCTCAGCCAGTGAGCGGGAACTGGTCTGTATGTTGGATCCGAACCCTCGGCAGGAGCGCCGCCGCGCTCCCAAGCGGCGCACTGTAGCAGTGCGCCACCGGGCCGGCCCCAAATAGCTGCTTTTTAAAAACCAAATGTGTTTGAGCATTTACTACTCAATAAATTTCCTGTTAATGAACCATGATTGCATTTCTGAAATAAAATCTACTTGCTAATTGTATGTTTTGATACCTTGATGGATTCTTGACTAATAATTATGTAGAGTCTCTGCATCAATATTTATGAGTTAGACTGGTCTGTGTTTTTCTCTTATTGTCCTATCTTTATCAGGCTATAGTATTGAAATTTCATTATTTTCTATGGCCTATAAAAATTTATATAACTTTGGAATTATCTTTTTTTCTCAAAAGGTACATAAAATTCATCTGTACACAAACTTGTCTCTTTCATTGATAGTTCTTCATTCACTTTCCTAATATCTTCTCTGTTAATTGACTTATTCTCATTTTTTACTGCATCTTGAGTCAATTTTAGAAATTATATTTTTCTATGAAATAATAAACTTCCTCTAGAATTTCAAATGTATTATCCAGAGATCATGTAGTTTCTCATAATTCTTTTTTATTTTCCTATTTCTGTGATTCTTTACCTCATTTCTCTAATTTTTGAATATTTTGCTCTATTTGTTCTTTTTCTTTAAAAAAAAAAAATGATGACCAGTAAGGGGATCTTAACCCTTGACTTGGTGTTGTCAGCACCACGTCTCCCAAGGAAGCCACAGGCTGGCCCTTGCTCTGTTTGTTCTTAAATCAGTTCATTATTCGTCATTTCAAAAGTATAGCCTTTGGATTTGTTTACCCTTTCTACTATTTTTGTCTGTGTTCTATATCATTAATTAATTTCAGGATTTATCTTTATTATCTTTTCCTATTTTCTTTCAGTTTATTTCAATCATTTTCTAAAACGTGAAGATGAGTGATTTGTTCTTTGTTTTTCTTTTCTTTGTTAATAATGAAGGCATTTAAGCTGCTATAAATTGTCCTGAGTACTGCTTTAGATGTATCTCATAAATTTTGATATGTAGTATTTTCATTTTTGTTGTTTTCTAGAAATTATTTATATTTGTATTTTCCCTTTGACCCAAATGGTTTAAAAGTTTTACATTCCCAATTAGAAGAGTCATTCTGTTTTCTGATTTTGTTGTTAAAATCTAACTTAATAGCATTGTAATCAGAGAATGGTATCTCATCTGCACTTTCTATTTTTGAAACTTAATTACCCTAATAACTGACCAATACTCAGTAATGTTTCATAAGTACTTGCAAAGGTGTTTCAGGGTACAGAATTTAATATATGCTAGTTAGTTGTTTATGTTATTTGTATCCTCTATATTCTCACTTATTTTTATTTGATTATTCTGTCATGAACTGAGGGGTCAAGAAAGTCTCTTACCACTAGCACGTCTATTTGGCTTTTTATTTTGTGTGGTCTTTGCTTTATGAATATTGATGCCATAGTTTTTATAAAATTCATACATGCATTGGATATTGCAACTTTTTGGATTATAAAAAGACTTTCTACGTCTAGTTTATTGGCTTTTTTTCTTTTTCTTTTTTTTTTTTTTTTTTTTTTTTTTTTTTTAAAATTCATACATGCATTGGATATTGCAACTTTTTGGATTATAAAAAGACTTTCTACGTCTAGTTTATTGGCTTTTTTTCTTTTTCTTTTTTTTTTTTTTTTTTTTTTCTTTTTTGGCATTCTTTGACCTGGTAGTCAAGTCCCTTCCCCAATTTCCTTTTTGTTTCCATTTGGCTGATACACCTTTGCCCATGTTTGACTTTTATCCACTTTGAAACACATTTTAGGTAAATAGTAAGGGTTAAATTTGTTTTATGATCCAATCTAAAAATTTTTTTCTTTGAATATATACGTTAAATCTATTTACATTTATTGATATGATGGTTTGTCTAATCTGTCATATTATTTTATACTATGTTTTACCTCTTTAATTTTTCTAAAGTCTTTGTAGTTTATTTCCTTTGCTTTGTTTCGTGTGTAGTTCTTTTGAGATTTAGATTTATTCTAAA